CGGATTGGATGAGAATCCTGCAGCATGCTGTTGAAGTAACCACTCACAAAAAAACAAGGCCAGGTTCACCGGATTGGATGAGAATCCTGCAGCATGCTGTTGAAGTAACCACTCACAAAAAAACAAGTCCAGGTTCACCGGATTGGATGAGAATCCTGCAGCATGCTGTTGAAGTAACCACTCAGTCAATTTATTTTCTTTTTTCCTTTATTATTATTTTTTTTTTACTTTTATACGTGTGTCATCCTTGCGCAGGGGCCATGCTAATCTTCCTTCTCTGTATCGTTCCAATCCTTTTAACGGATGTCCCGAAGGACGTCTTTCTGTTTTCCGTTTTCGTTTTGCCTAGTCGTTCTAACTGACCTCAACTGGGAGGAAAAAAACAAACAAACAAACAAACAAACAAACAAACAAACAAACAAACAAACAGAAACTACCCGCTATGCAGTAGCAACACATATGTGGAAGCAGCAGCATTAAACTCTACCAAGGGTACCATCTTCCCCCCAAATGGAATACGACTTGAAGGTCATTATAGCTGTATTTGGAGCACCTTTCAGTCCAGATACAGGGACAATGACCATGCATTCTATTCGGGTGAAGACGGTCGCTATGCAGGATAACTCCACCACTAATCCACTTTCCTCTGTTCCTCCCTGCATTTTTTTTTTTTTTTTTTTGGTTTCTCTTACTACTAACTGGTCATATTTTTAGGCCGGGGAAATACTGCTCCAGCTTGCCCCCTAACTCAAAAGTGCCTCGTGGAGTGTAAATCTTCCTACCTACCTTTTTTCCTTTTACATTAACGGGTGTAGACCCCCCCCCCCCCGCCCCCCTCCCTTAGTTGCTTTCATCTCACTCCAGTCAGTCCGAGTTCGAACTCATCTGTTCTTTCAAAAGACAAAAAAGACAAAAAAGACAAAAAAAACTTGAAAAAAGGCATTAACCCCTAACTCTCTCCCCTAACTCTCTCGTGTTCATCTGTTTCCTTCAGATTTCGAACCGCTGTTTGTGAAAAAAGACAAAATGTGGTTAGCCCCTAAGTCTCTCACTCCAGTCTTTTGTCAGAGTTCACCTGTGCTGTCAAAAGACAAAAAGGCGTTCGCACCTAAGCCTCTAATGGTCATTAACAATTGCACGTGTGTACAGTTCAGACAGATGGGGATGGGTGCGTCGTACCTACGCACCTGTTGCAGGGGAGATGTACCAATCTGATTCCTTCAGGATTCCAACTCATGTCCGCGAACGTCTGCATGGGAGCTTGCCTGCATGCCTAAAGAGGGAGCGTAATTGCAAGGCAGTGAAACGTGTCTGAAGAGTAGAAAAAAGAAAAAGAAAGGTTGTGGGCTACAGTGGAAGTCATGATGAAGAAGAAAGGGGTCCAAGGCTTACCCTGTGATTAGTTTCTCTGGTGGTTTTGCAGAGTTCCAGCAGTAATTCCCCAGAAAGACAGCGATCATTGTTTGGGCATAAAGATGAAAACCAATGCTTTCAGAGTCCAGAGGAGACATGAAAACGTAGCACGAGAGAGAGAGAGAGAGAGAGAGAGAGAGAGAGAGAGAGAGAGAGAGAGAGAGAGAGAGAGAGAGAGAGAGAGAGAGAGAGAGAGAGAG